GTGCCCCCAGCCCTACTCACTACCTTACTGCCAAGTGTAATCTTACTGTGGCAGCAAATTTTAAAGGGATTCTGTGCCCCGGCTCGTATCTCACAAGTTTGGCGTAGACATGTTTAACGCCGTTTGTTCACGCCCTTGGCCCTTGTCTCCTCTCCTCCTCCCCCCACCCCATACTGGCCGTGTACAACACCTAGGTCCGGTAAAGTTCCGGAGCTCAACTCCGCCGGTACCGCCCAGCACTAGTGATAAGATGTGACTAGTGTCGTGAAGTGCTCTGAGCCTGTGTCCTTGAGTCCAGGGAGAGCGCTGGAGAAATGACATATTTTTGTACTATCTGCACATCTCCAGATAAAGCTCTTACTCAAATAAAGACATCAAGGAACACCTAACATTTTAATAGTTTTGTTCTTTTTCTATATTTCCTTCCTAGTTTTTGAACAGAAAAATAACGAAGGCCTAAGGTGTGGTTCTCATTTGGCCATTCACTTTTTCTGTGATTTTCTCAAAACTTCTTTTACAAAATGACTCAAATGCTTGTGGGATGAGGCGGACCAAATTTGAATTTTTTTTAAATGTCAAGACAAAAGGTAGAAAACTCTCCAGCATGTTATATGTAGGTTTCATTTCTTGTGCCACTTCCTACATAACTACAAAGTTCATGTTTCTTATGAGGCAAAGAAGGTGCAGCCAGCGTATATATAGTTACCCTTGTCGCGTGTCATGTGATAGATCTGGGGGTGGGTCACAGAATTCTGTCCAGGAGAGAGCTTGGCTTCACCACTATTGTTGACATTCCTTACTGCTGTAGGCCTGAATAGAACAAGGGCGGATTTTAGGATCAAAAGGGACGCAATCACAATATTATTTTCCATATCCTTGGTTGTGTCCCTTACCCGTGTCCCGCGTCTCGCTCATGGCGAGTTCTAAAACAGAGAAGTTGGACAAAGAGAAACACAAGGCCTCCGGTTATCTTTGTACTTTTACGAGTAGATCACATCAGCAAAACACGTTCATGGTGAGACACAAGAAAGCGGGAAATGTAATTTGTGTCTTCTGTAACATTTACGAAAAAATGGGGAACAAGAAAAATAAGTGAGTTGTGTCCCCTAACTTTCTACTAGGGGAGATAACTTGCGTGTTTTGTTCACATCTTGTATATGGTGTTGTTTTTTATATGTCCGAATGGTTAGTGCTAAATTCTTGGGACCTTTAATTGTAACTATAAATATTTACGATTTGATCTGTTTTATTACCTTATAATATTTCTAGTTTAATTATCCACGGACGGTATATGTGATACTATTAATCCGCGCAAACTTCCACCAGCGAACGGTTACAGAAAGGTTAAGATCTTGCATGACCCGTAGTTACTTTGTCATCCAGTAGGATAATTCTGATCTGTTAGGTCCACTGGACCTGCAGATTTGAATCTATGATGACTGCGGAACATGAACCATGTGAGTTAAATCTCCGCGGGGAGCTGGGTCTTAGCAACGCCTCACTCCCAAGTCTGACCTACTCGATGACCACCTCTCTAATCTAACAAAAATACTTGGAAGACTGAGCAGTCCAATATCTGCTTCAGATTAGGTCTAGATTCTAGTGTAGATCTACATTAGATCTATACTGATGTCAACTGCACATTCTGATGGTAACTGACGAAATAGAGCTGGGTTAAATTCTAGCATCTGCCTTTCGGAAATTTGACTTTAAAAATGTGAAGTTTCACTTATCAAGCTTTATTCTATTACAGTTCTTTGAATTTCTTGGTAATGACTGAATAATCTCATAGTTTTGAGAGAGCAAAGTCATGAGTTTCTGAAAAAAAAGTTCTTCTATCTTTAGACACACTAAATCTTAATCTAGATCTAGTTCTAATTACATATTCATGTGCTTTCTGTATGTCTTCTTTCACGAAATAAACCCCAAACAAAACAATATTAACGTAAATTTAAACAAAGTAAGCATAAAGACGTATGATTCAAAATTTAAAACTGCATTAATAATGGCTTGTTGTTGTTAGAATAGAGTTGACTTTGACTTTGATTTTAAACTTGGCGACCAAAACAAACAAAAGGCTAGGAGTTATTTGCTAGCACATTGAAGGACTTTGGTCCACGAGGAAAACAGTCGTTTTAGCGACAAAAGTTGACATATTATTCAATGCTGGATTTTGTCAGGGGAGGTAAGAATAACAAAACCTATTAAACAAGGGAAATAACCTTCATTATTTCTAAAAAAGTAATTAACCACGTGTGTTTTACTTACGTGATTCCTAATGTCATAATTTTGTATTGACATATTGTTTTTAAGTTTGATTTTCATTCATTTCTATAGTAAGTGGTGTAATATATGTAGTGATACAATTAATGTAAACGAAATACCAAAGGACAATGCAAATAAGCGTAACAGTGTTATTTAAAATGTTTGATATAGTGACTTGGAAATTAAAAAGGGAGGTAATTAATCGACGATCATTTGTTCAAGCTAATGCAAGTCTTTTTGTTTCTTTATTTAGATATATTTCTAAGTTGTTTTCTGCTGTTGTATCTTTCTGAATATTGAGAATTCATCAGTGTCCACCCACTGTGTTTTTCTGGTGCGCTGCTACAATTACAATGTCTGGAGGGAAAACACAACTTCCAAACGTCAGTTTAAGATGAAAGAGGGCAGTTTTAGTTGAACCTGACAAGTCTCATATTATGATGACACATTAAGACAGATGATGATTTCATTCAAGAAAAGATGTTTCCTAATGAACTGAACGTAACAACACCACCCTGTCACGTGATCCTGGTTCATTATGGTGCCCACCATTTGACCCAATGTGGAAAGCAAGGGCAGTGTGGAAAGGTTTGCATGTACTGTCGACCCTAGCAGATAGCGAGACTGGCAGACTGGGGCTGGCCACTTCCTCTGGGCGCCCATGGTGAGCGCGCTTCACAGCTAAGTTTTTCATAAACGAGGGCAAAGAGCGGCTGCCATAACATGGCATGGTGGAGGAAATGTAATGATTCAAGTCTATAGTTTGTGTATAGAGGGGTAGAAGGTGCATAAAGTGTGGGGTGTAATTTAGGCAACTTTTGCTTCCATTTCACGTGTGAAATATCACCTTACATTTATTCACTTGTGAAAAAGAAGGATTTATTTCACCAGAAATGCAATGCTCAAACCACTGTAGATCTATGTATTTTGTCAAATTAATTATTCACTCAGGGTGGGGGTAATTTTCCTCCCAGTTAAATGTGATAATTTTTACATTCTCAATCTAAGATGTATTTAATGAATCAATTTCCCCTGGTGATTACCGCTCCTACTTTCTTACTTTTTCCTGGACTGTACCAAAAACGGTTGTCATCTGTCACTCCTGTTCCCCTGGGACTCGACTAACTACCAAGTCCTGGCGACCAGCGTGGCAGCCTGGCCCATCCACGGCGTGCGCTGGGACCCTCTGACCGTCAACGAGTTTGTGTCGGTGGGCGAGCGAGGCAGCGTGTTGTTCTGGCTTCTGGACGAGAGCGCGGGTCCCGTCTGTCTCAACGTCCACCAGGCTCACCTCCCGCCAAAGCTGGACACAGTGGCCAACAAGGTGACTTTCTCCAGATTTTTCTATGGGTATTAATATAGTAATAACTATTATAATGATAAAAACAGTAATGACGATGGTGATGATGATGATAAAAGTTCCTGCTTGTGCAGAGGAGAATTAAGTCAAATCGAAGAAAAAGGATTAAGTTTTTGTCGATGGGATCAATTCTGACAGAGAAGAGTTTGCCTCATTCGGAGCATTGAAAGGCTTTACTTTTCCGCAGGGCAAGCCAGTGACGTTCACTTCCCTGGCCTACGCCGGAGACAGCACGGCCTACATCGGGACACAATCTGGACACGTGTCAGCCTGGGACACGCGACACAACACATGTTTCCTGCACTGGGAGGCCGACAGCGCTGAGATCAGTGAGTTACTGTAGTCTCCGCCGAAGATCCCCGTGCTCGGGAGCGAGGGAAATATTGTTCTGAGTTATCTTCTCCTTTTTTCTTTTTGATCACGTCACACTTGCGACAACTGTCAGGTCAATGGGGTGGCCAGGTTTCATGTCTTACAGGGGTGTGTGGACCGACCTTCGGTTCCTGTTGGGTTAGGAAAAAGCAAGAAGCCGTTCAAGAAGATCGGACAAAAGTGACCACCGACTTGATCAGCCTTTGGCAAAGTGGAGGTTTGTGGGGAGAAGGGATGAAGTGTCTTGTGGTGTGGGGTTTACCTTCTTGTCGACCCCTTGTGGTGTGGGGTTTACCTTCTTGTCGACCCCTTGTGGTGTCTGTTCTGGACAGACGGGCGGGGTGTATACCTTATGCACAGATCAGCAGCAGATTGTCGCGCTACACTCTGGTGAAGTGTTGATGTCTCCGTCGTCCGTGTTTGTCGCCACAAACTTTAGTCACACGTCACGCAGATCTGATGACTCTCAGGACAAAAGTCTATGCAACGATACAGCCGAGAGCCTTTCTTTTTCTGTTGTTGTTGTTTGTTGTTGTTGTTGTTTGTTGTTGTTGTTTGTTGTTTTTGTTGTTTGTTGTTTTTGTTGTTTGTTGTTTGTTGTTTTTGTCAGAGGAAATTTGCACCAACCAAAAAAAGGAGTAAAAAACGGCTATGTCACTGCTTAGAATTTTTTTTGTCACTGGTTCATGTGTGTCAGGTTTACGTGTCGCTGGTTCATGAGAGTCAGGTTTACGTGTCGCTGGTTCATGAGAGTCAGGTTTACGTGTCAGTGGTTCATGTGTGTCATGTATGTTTGTCGTGTTTACATATCGCTGGCTCCTGTGTGTCAGGTTTACGTGTCGGTGGCTCCTGTGTGTCAGGTTTTCGTGTCGCTGGTTTATGTGTATCATCATGTATGTTTGTCGTGTTTATGTGTCGCTGGTTTATGTGTCACATTGACGTGTCATTCAGCCCAGCTGGTGTGCAGACACAGTCGCCTGATGACGGCCAGCGCGGGACACGCCATCAAGCTGTGGTCAGTCGCCGGCGTCTCTCACACCAGGCCAGCCAATGGGAGGCCGGCGGCTCAGGGGCACACCGCCACCGCAGGGCTGACTATGGAAGACGAGATGGCTTTGGATGGACCAATCACATGCGCTGAATTTGACGACACGTTAGATATGGTAAGTGTTGAAGGAATTGTCAGTTTTGTAGTTGCCAAGATTTCCCCTGTCTTTATGTTACATTGGTGGGGGGGGGGGTTATGGAGTGTCTCAGTCTGTCTATTGATACGTTGTTGTATCCCTCTCAGCCTGGGTCTGTCTGCTGGGATGTTGTATCCCTCTCAGCCTGGGTCTGTCTGCTGGGATGTTGTATCCCTCTCAGCCTGGGTCTGTCTGCTGGGATGTTGTATCCCTCTCAGCCTTGGTTAGCCCGGACAGGCGGGGTTGAAGCCTGACTCCTAAATGATCGAAATTGTGTTGATGGGGGTGTTGTTGTTGTTGTTGTTGTTATTGATCCAGCAACAGCTGGGCTCTCGCCCTTCTGTCCAATGCCATGTAGTGATAAGTGCAGGTTTGCTGCAGTTGCTGGAATGTTCCGCAGAGTGTGTTGTCAATGTTAGGTCATGGAGGGAGAAATGTAGACATAGGTGGAAAACTCCAACGTTGGTCTCGGAGGGAGAAATGTAGACATGGGCGGAAAACTCCGACATTGGTCTCGGAGGGAGAAATGTAGACATAGGTGGAAAACTCCGACGTTGGTCTCGGAGGGAGAAGTGTTGACATGGGCGGAAAACTCCGACGTTTAAAAACCCCAAGTTTTTCTCCACGGTAAAATGTTGTTCTGTCAGCCATGTTGTTCTGTTCGCCAGGGCATCGTGGGAACAGGGGCAGGAACTCTGTGGTACATCAACTGGTCGGAGAGGTCGTCTATACGTCTGGTGGCGGGGCACGGGAACAAAGTAAGTGTCGTGTGTCGTGTGACATGTGTTGTGTTTTGTGTCGTGCTGGCCCGGACACGTGCAGAATTGGAAGGGTGTCACTTTTCTCTGAAGTGTCCTGTCTTTTTTTCCAGTATGTCACGTTATAGGCAAAAACATCCACATTCTTATCTTTCTCAGAAATGTCTTGTTCTTAAGACATTTGGGTGTTCCTGGTATGGCTGGCAGATTATTGTCTGTCACTTTTTGTACTGTATCATCAACAGTTTTGTGTGGTGTGTGTCAAAGATAGCCTGTGTGTGTTCTGTTTGTGTTGTGTATCAAAGATAGCCTGTGTGTGTTCTGTTTGTGTTGTGTGTCAAAGATAGCCTGTGTGTGTTCTGTTTGTGTTGTGTGTCAAAGATAGCCTGTGTGTGTTCTGTTTGTGTTGTGTGTCAAAGATAGCCTGTGTGTGTTCTGTTTGTGTTGTGTGTCAAAGATAGCCTGTGTGTGTTCTGTTTGTGTTGTGTGTCAAAGATAGCCTGTGTGTGTTGTGTATCAAAGATAGCCTGTGTGTGTTCTGTGTGTGTTGTGTAGCAAAGATAGTCTGTGTGTGTTCTGTGTGTGTTGTGTAGCAAAGATAGCTTGTGTGTGTTCTGTATCTGTGTGTGTGTTCTGTATCTGTGTGTGTGTTCTGTATCAAAAATAACTTGCGTGTGTTCTGTATCTGTGTGTGTGTTCTGTATCTGTGTGTGTGTTCTGTATCTGTGTGTGTGTTCTGTATCTGTGTGTGTGTTCTGTATCTCTGTGTGTGTGTTCTGTACCTGTGTGTGTGTTCTGTATCTGTGTGTGTGTTCTGTACCTGTGTGTGTGTTTGTGGACAGATCCACGGAGCGACCTTCACCCCTGACAACTTGCTGGTGAGCGGTGGCGATGACGGGAGTGTGCGCGTGTGGTCTGTGCGCAGTCGGGAGCAGGTGCTACAGTTTCAGGTTAAGCTACAGGTGAGAAAACTGGGCGGGTCACTGTGGTGTGGGCGGGTCACTGTGGTGTGGGATGGGAATTGCCACTCTGTGTGTGTGTGTGTGTGTGTGTGTGTGTGTGTGTGTGTGTGTGTGTGTGTGCATGCGCGCGCTCATGTGTGTGTTTGTGTGTATGTGGGCTCTGTCTTGTGTGGGAAAGAAATTACCGCTTTGTGTGTGTCCTTGTGGGTGTATATATGTATACTGTGTGTCCTTGTGGGTGTATATAATATGTATACGTGCTCAATATTGTATGAGACAGTGCTTTTGAGCGTCTGCCATTGCTTTTGTGTGTAAGTGTGTGTGATGTGATAGTCTCTCTCTGTGTCTCTCTCATTGTGTCTGTCTCTCTCTCTGTGTCTGTCTCTCTGTGTCTGTCTGTGTCTGTCTCTCTCTGTGTCTGTCTGTGTCTCTCTGCCACTGGAACTTCCATCTGGTTACTGTATTTCTGTGTGTGTATTAGTAATTAGTATTCCATATCCGGCTTTGGTTGTGCCTTTGAATGCTGAGCCGTCCGTATGGACGTGTATCCAGTCATCTGAATAGCTGTCGATTGTTTGATGTGATGCAAGCAAGATTTTGTGCTCTTGTCTTTGAGAGATGTAATGATTGGCGTTTTTAAAGAAAGGTGGGGAGGGATGTTTTGGTTGACTCTTTTGGTTTCTTTTCTGTTTTGTGGTAGGTGGTGGCTCTCCATTAGTTCTGTGATGTGATGCATGATTGACTTTTGTTGAAGTCGTTTCTTTGCTTGGTTTCCATGTTTCTACTAATTTCCTGTTTGGGTGGTTGGGGTATGTTCTTTTGGTTCTTTTATGGAGCTCCAAAACTGCTTCTTTAAAACGTAACACTCATTCATTTATCCCCGTCAGTCTTGTACATGTCTGGCCGCACGCCCAGCGAGTGAGGGCGAATCTGGGACATGTCCGCTGGTGGTGGGGGGGTACAGTGACGGGACGCTGCGACTTTTTGACCTCAGCTCGGTGGAGATGTTGCTGAAACTACAGCCCCACGCGGTCACTGTCACAGCTGTCTGCTTCTCTGCTGACGGTGAGTCCTCTCTGTCTCTGTGTCGTCATGTCATTGTGTTGTCATTGTGTCATGTTGTCGTTGTGTCATAACATTGTGTCTTTGTGTGTCATAACGTCGTGTCATTTTGTCCTGTTGTGTCATTGTGTCATGTTGTGTCATAACATCGTGTCATTGCGTCATGTCGTGCCAGGTGCCATGATCCTGTCAGGAGCCAGTGACGGCCTGATCGCGGTAAGCAGTCCGTCTACGGGGATGACCGTCCGCATCATCAGCGACCACAAGGGAGTGGCCATTTCCAACATGGACGTCACTCTGACAAAGGTACTGTCCCGTGGTCATTTCTCTGTGTCCCATCTCTGTCCCATCTGCCCCCCATCTGTGTCCCATCTCCCCCATGGTCATTTCTCTGTGTTCCATCTGCCCCCCCCCCATCTGCACCCCC